AGGAATGAGCATGATGTTTGAAGAACAGAGTGGGCCAGTTTGCTAGAGTCTCATCAGGCCTGATCTTTTGGCCCTTCTGGGGAGTGTGTGCCAGGAAAGTTGGGGAGCTGGGAGCAGGTACTGATCCCTTCTGTGCTTCAGACATTCTCTCAGCTGCTTTGTAGATAGGGAACTCCCAGTAACAGCCAAGGAGGCTGTGGTTCCTCTAGGGCTGTGCTGCCAGTAGCTGGGATGAGGTGGTAGCCTAAGAGTCCATCACCAGCATAGAAGTTTGTATGCCATAGAAGGACCATCTGTGGTTCCCCTGACAAGTACCAGCCTATCTTCAGTGGCCTTACCAGGACCTTGGGCAGGTTCTTCTTCTGACCTTCCCTCCACCTTTCTGTGCGGAGTCCATCTTCATTCTCAACTTCCAGGGCCAGTCTTACCCTGTACCCTCTCTAATGATCTGGGAGGAGGGCTCAGGTGTCTCATTACTTTGGTCCAGATTCCTACTGCCTAGGAAAGCCCAAAGCTCCACAGTAAAAGGCGACCCGGGTCTGTGGCCCTGCATGCGGATCTGAGCCTACTGTTTTCCCTGCGGGACCTGGGAGGTGTCACATAGATGTACCCAAATGAGAGGGCAGGAACTTTGGGTTGGCCACATCGGGGTCCGAGCCTGCCCACTGCCCGCCCTCCTTGGAGCAGCCGCCCCTTCTCCACGTGGCCCTTTTTTCCTCCTTATCTTGCCCTTCCAGGAAGCCAGTGCAGGAAGTGGGCTTGGGCCTGGCTTCCTGTTCGTGTTGGACCTCCCTTGGTGACTCTTCTCAGGGAAGGCCTGTGGGATATGGGATTTGTTCCTGTACACAGACCAAGCCGTTCCATGGGGAGCCACCCTGTGGGGGTTGAAGGCTATTTCCGGCCTCTATAAGGAGAGGCCTTCCAGTTCCACCACCTAGAGAAACAGCTGCCCATATCGTATCGGGAACATGAGGGCAGGCACAGGCCAACTAGGAATTCCGAAGTCGCCAACAAAGTCGCACAGTAAAGCTTATTTCTCCGTGAGGCAGTTTCCGATCTGTGGGGCCCTCTGTGGCTGCTCCAGTGTATGGGTTGTGATTCGTGTTCCCAAAATGAGAGGAGCTGGTTTTTTTCCAGTTTTACCACATTTGTTATATAAAAGAAATTCGGTAATGATGGAAAAATATCTTGAAAACCCATCTTATCTGGGTAAATTTAAATGATTCTGTCCTTTATCTGCCAATTCTTGGCAATAACCACAGATTTTCTGAATGTTTCTTCCCCTCACCTGGTGAGTTCCTGTGTTTGAAAACCTAGCTACAATGTGGCCTCCTTCAATCTGGGAGGACTCCCCATCGTGCCTGGCCAAGTCACTCTTTGTCTAGTGGGGGCTGTGCCCTCTGGCTGTGGACACACAGGGTCAAGCCAGGCTCTGTCTAGTGCTGGGCAACATCCTCAGTCTCAAAGCCTCAGTATGCCCATCTATAAAATGTGTGCGATGATAACCATATTCGATGCTTTAAAGACCTGGAAATATGTGTATCCATATGGATACAACTCAGACATCAGTTGAACAAAACATAACAGCAAAAGGACCTGTACTGCGATGCTGTTGATAAGTATGGTAGGTTACGCTCTGCCTGTCAGAAGTACGAGAATTATGTACAGTGTGAGTTATAAAGAAATGGTGAATGGTTAACACCAGAACCGGGTGGCAACTACCTTTGGGAGGAGAGGTGGGGCTCAAGACATTCTTTCCTAAATTGGGAAACAGTTGTGTTTTCTGGGTTGAGCAGAGTGAGGAGAATGTCTCTTCCTTTGCAGGTGAGGTATGCGTGCTCCTGTACCACCACCAACCCCCCACCCCCCAGTGCTATCATGGGACCTTGCCCAGGGGCCAGGGCTCCCAAGCACCGATTAAATAGACAAGTCATGTCCCCTTGTTTGCCTTTCAGCTTCCATTGTCCCTGCTGAAGACAGCTCAGAATCATCCCATGGTGAGTATGTGTGGTCTGGGATGGCAAGCTTTGTTGGGGACCAGCCTCAGCACAGGGACAGGGACAGTGGGTGAAGGGTAAGGTACCTCCAGCCAAACCTGCTTCCCGCCTATCCATGAAACAGCAGCGTGTTCTCTTCCCTCCTACGTGGGTCAGGACCGATGTCATTTCTGCTGCTTATAAAAGTAATAATGTGCTTATTAAAAATGTCAAACGTGAGAGACTTAGGCTAGAAGCCCCTTGCATTCATCTTTCTAGCAACTTAACTAAGTCTATAAACTATGTGTGTGTAAATGTGAATGTGATTTTTTAAAAAACGTAGATGGGATCACACAATGTACATTATTTCCTAAACTACATTTGTCTTTAACAGCACAGCGTGGTATGTTCTGTTTTCTTTCCTTTTATTCCGTATAATTCAAATATTATACAGCTCAACCTTTTAAAGCAAACAATTCAGTGGCATTTAGAACATTCATGATGTTATACAACCAGCACCTCTATCTAGATTCAGAACATTTTCATCACCCCAAAAGGAGACCCGTTCCCATTATCATTCACTCCTCCTCATTCCCACAGCCTCTGACAACCACCAGTCTGTTTCCTGTCTCTTTGGATTTGCCTGGGATCAATGGAATCATACAACCTGTGGCCTTATGTGTCTGGCTTCTTTCACTCAGTGCAATGTTTTTGAGGTTCAACTAAATTGTAGCATGTGTCAGGGCTTCACTCCTTTTTATGGCTGAATAATAGTCCACTGTATGGATTGACCACATGTTTATCCATTCATCAGTTGATGGACGTTTGAGTTATTTCTACCTTTTGGCTATTTGTGAATATATGGCTACTGTGAACACACATGTATGCGTTTTTGTATGGGTGTATGCCTTCTTTTTTTCTTTGGCAGATACCTGAGTTGGTTTTTTTAAATCTCAGCCTTTGTTGTTTGTTTCTTTGGGTTTTTTTTCTCCCACAATAAAATGCTTTCATCGTAGAAAACCTACAGTGCCCAACAAAGAACAGAAAAAGCAGAACATTTCTGAATGAGGTCAGGGCAGCAGTCACCTGGCTCTAAGGGGCAGGGCTGCACCTCTCTTGGGGCCATGGCTGACTTGGAGCCTGTTTCTTGCCAGTTGGTGGAGCTTAAAAATGGGGAGACTTACAACGGACACCTGGTAAGCTGTGACAACTGGATGAACATCAACCTGCGTGAGGTGATCTGCACATCCAGGGTGAGTGCCCTGTGCCGGAGCCTACGCCCAATACCTGGGGGACATTGGGTGGGGCTGGCAGGTGTGGGGAGTGGGTGCACTGTGACCAGGAGTGTGCACTTGGACTTAAAGAGGGTGAAGGCCCTTTTGGGAGGAGTAGGGGGGCTTACTCTGCCTAGCACAGGTCATCCTACCAGGAGTGGGGCCTGAGGGACTGGGCTGGGTGTGGAGGGGCAGTGCCAAGGGACAGGGCTCTAAGTCCCGCAGTACCCTGGACTTTGTACCCATGGGGACTTTGTAGCTGTGGGATGCTTCCTGGTAGGTACTGAGCTTTCTTCTCCCTGCCGCCACCCCTTTCCGGGAAGGACTCAGGCCTGGGAGGTGCTTCTGGCTATAAGTCCCTGCTGTAGGAGTGGAAACTGGCCTCTAGGGTAGGCTCATCCTCCTGTCAGCCTTGGCTCCTGTTAGTCCAGGCTATAAGCCATGGTGGTGTGACCACGGGATGTGCAGGCCACCAGGGGGCGAGGGTGGCTCCGTGGACCAGCAGGCTTGTTTACTTCTGAGGCCCGAAACCAGGAAGTGCAGAGCCAGAAGTACCACTGGGCAGGCCAGAGCTGAGGGAGGGTCCCTGGGGTCATGGCTGGGATGACTCCAGAACCATGAGGACAAGGACAGTGATGGGGGCAGGGTTCCCTCCTGCTAATGTGCATGGGCTCTGGACTTTAGTTTCCGTTCCCCTGCCAGTAACAGTCACCCAGGTTACAGGGGAGGAAGCTGCTGGGGGGGCCCAGCCAGGGTGGGGCTGTTTGGGGCCTGTGGGCAGTATACTCCTGGGACTTGCCACACCAGAGTACAGCAGAGCATAAGGCAGCCACTCTGCCCCTGGTTCATCTTTCTGGATGGTTGACACCCCAACAGGCAGACAGGTGGGCATGACCCCTCCCCTTACCTGCGCAGCTCCATGGCCTGCTTCTTATAACAGTGCGTCGCGGGGCTTCCACACCAGCCTCCTAGAAGCTCCCTCCTGGTTTCTATGCCAGATGGCCTGGCGGTGGGTGTCTGGGAGCCTCCATTTTGGCCATCACGGACAGTGCTGCAGTGCATAGCCTTGCACATGTTTTTCTGCTTATGGCCAGTGGGCCTGTGCCCACTTCTGGGACCTAGAACCAACCACCGGGCTTGGGGTGAGGTTGGTCCAACCTCCATGGTCAGCTGAATCTGGACATATGGCTACCCTGGGCGGTCCCTTCTGTTACCAGGTGGGTGGTAGGAGAGGCTCAGATGAGGTTCAGACTCTTGGGCAGCAGGCAGTGGGGTCCAGAGACCCCGGGGGCTGAGACCCCAAGGGAAGCCCTGGTTGGGAGGCTCTAAGCTACTGCCATGGAAAGCAGAGTGAGCCCTGGTTCCCGCAGGGAGTGGGTGAGCTGGGCCCAGCCTGTCTTTGGCTGAGGGAGAACCAAGCAATGAGCAGCCAGCCCTAGCCCTGGCCTCGAGCTTCCACGGAATCCTTTTTCTGTCTGGCTGTACTTTGCATCCCCATGGACTTGGCCCCTCGCCCATCCTTTCTGGGAAAGGAATGCCCGGGGCCTCTTGGGGTTCCTGTGTAGGCTAGGGGCTCATTGTGTTCCTGGGAAGAGTCGGCCCTTGAATGTTCTGTCTGACCCACTGAGTGCCATTACTGGGCTGGACAAGGCTGCTGGCGAATGTCATGTGGGGGGACTGGGGGTTTCAAGGAGGCTGGGGGGCAAGGTCTGTCAAGGGCTGGAGTTAGCTAGACAAGGAAAGGTGGGAACAATGTGTGCAAAGTGCTGGGGGCAGGAAGCCCTCAGTGTATGTTCCAGAAAGTTCTATCTGGAAGGCAGGTTGAGGGCTGAATCTTGGGCCCTCAGGAGCCACAGTGAGGAGTTTGAATCTGGTTGTTGGGCTGAGGGGGCCCTCATTGGGTACTAAGCAGGGAGAGGTCTCGGTCTGGTTTCTAGGGGCATGCGGGGAAGAGAGGGCTGCCCAGGCTTTGGCTCTGGGCAGTGCGGGGTGGGACTGGGAAACTAATCTGATAGAAGAGGTCCCGGGCTCCTGCCCAAGGGCATCAGGAGGAGATGTGAGGGGAAGGCCTTGTGCTGGTCTCAGGGTATTGCGGAAGGCGGGGTAGGGGGCAGTTCATTTCCTAGGAACCGCAAGGTTGTGACTTTGCAGGCCCCCTTGTCTTTCCAGCCCTAATTAGGTTCCCTGAAAATTGGCACCTTGGGGAGCTGCTGCTGGTGGGCCCTAGACCTGCCTCCCCACCTCCCTCTCAGCCCGCTTCACCTGTCACACAGGGTCGCTATCCTGCTGCCCTGTGTCCCATGCCCAGTTCAGACCCTTCCAACAGATAGTTTCATGAATGAGTCCAGGTATGTAGAGAAGGTTCCAGAAGGTGGGTTCTAGATGGCTGGGGGCAAGAGCAGGGAGGAGCTCAGCTGTGGCTGCACCTGGTGTAGGAAATAACCTCCCACTCTGGGCTTTGGGCTATAGGTAACAAACCCCATCCCACACTGGAGGACAAGCCAGGGCCGAGGAGGCTATCTTCCACATAGCCCCACTCTCCTTCCTCATGTGCCATGGGTGCCAAGGGTCTGTGAAGACCCTGCTAGAAGGCAGCCTCTTCCTGTGTCATGTCCAGGACTGTGAACTTGACAGCCTGGGACCACCCAGGCTGTTTGCACCTACTCTGTAGGGAGCCCCCACAGATCTGAGGCCCTTCCCTTTCATGCAGGATGGGGACAAGTTCTGGCGGATGCCTGAGTGCTACATCCGTGGCAGCACCATCAAGTACCTGCGCATCCCTGACGAGATTATCGACATGGTTAAGGAGGAGGTGGTGGCCAAGGGCCGCGGCCGTGGTGGCCTACAGCAGCAGAAGCAGCAGAAAGGCCGAGGCATGGGGGGTGCCGGACGAGGTAGGCCACACACACACACACACGTAGCTGAAGCACGTGGTGTCCATCTTGGCCCAATGTTGACATTCCTGGCTGGTGCCATCACGGTGCCTTGGGGCTGGCTCTGAGCTCCCCCCAGTCATAGAGCTGGTGGCTGTGACTCATAAGGCCCCTCTCTGGAGTGGCCTTGCTGTTGACTGCTGCCTGCCCCCACCCTGCACCCCAACATGGGGTCCCAGCAGCGTCCTCAGTGCTCCCTCAGCTCCGTGTCTAGCCCAGCATGCTGATCTGGAGCCCACGTGGACCTGGGCCTCGAGCTTTGTTCTCGATCCCTGCATGTGTCTGGGTGCAACACAGCATCTCCCTGAGCCTCACTTTCTTCTCTGTAGAGAGAGTCCAGTGGTGACCTCTCGGCTAGTGAGGGCTCCAGCTTAGGGCCTGGCACAAGACCCTTCCCTGCCGTGACTCCTTGATACAAAGCCAAGGTCATACCTTTTTGATAGACTCCCTCACCACTCCAAGATGGTAACTCTGGCATAAAATGAAATTTGTCATGCAGTCAGCTGGGGGCTAAACCCAGAGGCCATTTGTAGACCCCCACCTTCCCCATCAGGCTCCTGTCTTGGAGTGGCCTGGCTTTGTCTCTTCTGTCTGTGGAGGCTTCCCAAGTGCCAGGCCTGGAGCCAGCCCTGAGCCGGGCTCATGTGACAGTCAGGAGTGAGCCACAGGGAAAAGGGAGGAGGAGCAGCCAGGCAGAGGGTTGACGGGGCCTGGAGAGTGAGCGGGGCCCTGGGGTCTCAGGGCCTATCCATATCCAAGGGCCAGACTCTTCACACTAGGGACACTACTGCTGACTGAGCTGCAGGAAGGGTGAGGGGCGTGCCCCCTGAGGCCGCTCTAGAGAGAGGCCCCCGGGCTCTCAGCAGCAGGTGGAAATCTCACAGATTTGGCAGAGTTAGCCTTGACCCATGAGAGGTGAGGTGGGGCAACCTCTGCTAGCATTGGTCTCTGTCCCTACATGGTGGTGCTGGAGCAAGGGAGGTCCTGGGTCCCCAGTGCTGACCTCAGCCTCAGAATTGGGGGTCTCTCCCTCACCCCTGGCCAGAGTCCTGTCTCTCTCCTGGCTCCTGCAAGCCCTTTTGGCTTTGTTTATCTGATGACCAGCTGGGCCCCCACCCTGGCCCTGGGCCCTCTTTCCCAGGAAGCCTGCCTCAAGCCCCATTGTGACTTGTGGCTGACCTCTGTCCTCCCTGTACCCCTTGCAGCCTGGAAGGCCTGGTTTCCTTTGTCACACTGAGAACATTCTGGAGCACCACCCATGGCCAGCCCTAGTCAGATGCTCCATCCAAGGTTCTTAGCCTGCCCTTCCCACTTTATCCAGGGGCTTCCTGAGGCTCAGAGGTAACCAACCCCTGATGACCCTGGAGCCCAGCTCCCCTGCAGCCCTGACTTCTGTCTCACAGGTGTGTTTGGCGGCCGGGGCCGAGGCGGGATCCCAGGCACAGGAAGAGGTCAGCCAGAAAAGAAGCCAGGTCGGCAGGCGGGCAAACAGTGAGCCTGCCCTGCATCCTCCAGAGACTGAGCTGCCTGAGGCTGCATTTCTGCTCCAGTCCATGAGTTTGTTCAGAATGGAAAGAGGCAGGCGTCGGAGGGACCCACCCTGCCGTACATTTTGTGATCCTCTTCTCAGTGTTTTTGATTTTGTGAAGACACAGCCAACTTGATTCTTGGAAGGTTCTTTGTGATAATGCCTCTTTGGAGCCTTCACCTGTGTGTTAAGGGGGAAATTTTCCAAGCAGGTTTTTTTTTGCATCTTGTGTTATGTCCCTGTGTGGCAAACAGATGGGCAGTTTTTATTTTAAGCTGCTTGTGCTGAGATTGACAACCCATGGAGTTTCCTGAAACACGGACCTGAAATTGTCCTTTCAAAACAAATTTGGACAGATGTATGCCTCAGAAGTTGTTCAGGGGATGTGGTTGGGCCCTGCCCCTTCACCTCCTCTCTCCCTCTTTGTATTACAAAAATAAAAACAAATGCAGCTACAAACTTCAAATCTGTAAGAACAGTTTTTACCAACGCCATTCATACCAGAATTGACCCAGATGAATGGGGCTGCCTTGAGGAATGTGTGAGGGAGATTTTCTTGAGTCCCTTCCCGCCTCTCCAGGGTACCACCTTCCACATTGCCTGAGACATTGAACTGCATTTTAGCAAAAGGCTTCCAGTGTTATTGTCTGTGGACCAATTTTCTTTTGTGAGTGCAGGTTGCCGTAGGGACGGCCAGGTGCTGGGAGACGAGCGTCAGCCAGTTCCTGCGTTTGGGAGTTCTCCTACTTGTCACTGTGTTAAGAACTGTTTTGAGGGGTGAGTGGAATAAAAAGTGTAGTTGACCTGAAAATTCCACTTGTGGGATCTGCAAAGTGCTAGCCAAGTCATCTTAAAGGTCTCTGCATTTACGGTTTCTCTGCCCATCTCAAGAATGTGGTCTGCCCTCTCCCCCCATCATTGCTTCTTCCCAGTCACACCCCTCCTGGGACCTGCTGCTATCTGAATCCTTGTCTAATAAAAACATTTTGGCCTATGTTGAGGACAAGGTATGGGGTCTGAGTGGGACTGGGGTGGAGGCGTCACCCTCCACCCCAGGGACTCGCCTCCCTTATCAAAAATGTGGGCGGTGGTCCTTGGCTGCATGGGCTTGAAGGGGCAAGAAGTGAAGGACCAGTGGAGAAGAAAGAGCCATGTTTGCAATGTCCCCCTACCCTGTTGCCCTGGACCCAGGGGCCCATAAAGGTCTGGGGTGCTGGGCCCCCTGCCACAGGTGGTATCTGCCTGGTGGGGCTTTGACGAATGGGGGCTCGGGTCATGTGTCCCATAAGCTACAATGCTAAGTCCTTTAGAGGCCCACCAAACAGTGTTTCTGGTGGTTTGGTTTTTCTCCCTGACTTGGCTCTGGATCTAGAGCAACCAGATGCCCTTCCAATGTTCAGGGTTGTGGCCTTATCTCTGTGCTGCTTTCACCCCTAGCCTACCCCAAGCCTATGCATAAGCTTGGCCACCTGCCATGCCTTGACCTTTCTAGTGAGCAGCCTAGGTAACCGCCCTATGCCCTCCTCGCCCCTGATGAGTTGCTGCTGTGGCCCAGCTGCTTAGGTGCCTAGGTGTCCTGAAGGCTCCATCTTGAGCTGGCTGTCGGGACAGCCCTGTTTCAGCCTTCTTGGTTGGTTTTAAGAAAGCAGCCTCAGTCCCTCAGCAAGAAGAGAAACCAAAAGCACAGGGCCTCGATCTTTTCTGTCCTGATGTTCTGTTGGTGCAGACCGTGCCCTCTCAGCTGACAGTGCATGATCTTCGAGTGTAATAGTGACTTCTCGCCACTGGAGTTTGTTCCTGCCGGCTGTCAGGGAGCCCCATGTGTCCAGGTATGACTTAGCCTGCAGCTGAGCTTGCAGAGCCCTGCTGCCTCAACCTGGGGCCAAGAGCACACTTCTGGGACATGGATGCAGTGGATCCTACAAGGCGCCAGATGGGGAGGTCTCTGTCGCTTTTCTTTGTCACCCCTTCCTGCATACACCTCCGTGCCATTCCTCTGCTGGGCCTTGCAGCTGGGCTGGGAAGCCCTCCCTGAGCCTACCGCCCCCACCTCCTCCAGATGGAGTGATAGCAGGTGTCCTTCCCACCCTCCAGCTGGACTCTGGGGCCTGGCACATCTTGGCATTTGCAACATGTGTTCCCAGAGGCTCAGTACGTGCTCCAGTGTCCTCTGCTATCTGCCTGTGGACAAAGGGCTGCTTAACCAGTGTTGCGGGGTGGTAAGAAGATGGTCTGATATTCACTCAGATGACAGTGAAAGAAGCTACCCATTATAATGGAAGTAGAGGTCTAACTGGGGACCAAGGGACTGGGGCCACAAACCTGTCCCAGGTATTTTCAGAAGAAAACAGGGGTAGGGAGGAGAGGTAGTTAGGGAAGGCCAGAGGGTGATATTTGAAAAGGGTTTGAGGGAAAC